CTGTGAATAAAGAAGAAATATTAGAATTACAGTAATTACCTGTTTATAAATCATTTAAACCGGGTGTTCCATATTTGTTTCAGTATTTCCTTCTTCCTGTTTCACACAACAACCCTGCAAACATTCCTATTTATTGCTATGTTTGAAAGCTGCACCGAACATTGGGTAGAGATAGGAATGGGCCAGTATCTAGCATGGGTGGCTTAAATGGCATCAACCAATATACAACTTTAAAATGCTGCTTTTTACCCCCCAGTTTTCAAGAATTGACTAAAACCAATCAGAAATAAAACAAATCGGACCTTTTACTGGTCTGAGCAAAACCCTAACCCTAACCTAGCCAAACACTCATTCATTCAAGCAGTAACAGATAGGGTTGGGTACCAAATTCGGTACTTTTTAAGGTACCGACCGAATTCCACAGTACCGACTGAGCACCGATTCACGTCATTTGAAACGGTGCCTCGTTTCGGTACCCGTCCATCATAACGAGAACTTGCCTAGGCATGCGCAAGAGCGTTATGTCGTCGCTCGCTGCGAGCCAGGTGTAAACAGAGCAGCATGGTAGAAAGAACGCACGCTAAAGCTTGGGTCCACTTCACTAAATGTGATGGGTAACTGGGTGATGATGAAACCAGCGACAACGATCTAAGTGAGACATCCTCATCTTAATCTGCTCCGGTTGGTAAATAAAATGTTTAAGATAACGTTAGCTTGATATGTTAGCTTCCGTTCCGCTAATGGTGCGTTCACTTTCTCCTCGGAACCCCAAATTTCCGACTAGAAGAACACGAACGCACTCTAAAGTTTGGCTTCACTTTACTAAATGCGACGGGTGATTGGGTGAAGATGAAACCAGTGACAACAATCTAAGTGTGAGGCATCATCGTTTTAATCTGCTCCAGCAGTTAAATAAACTGTTTAAGATAACGTTAGCTTGGTATGTTAGCTTCCATTGCCACCATTGTTATCAGCTAATGGTGCGTTCGCTTTCTCCTCGGAAATTCTAACTTCCCAGTAGAAAAAATCAAATGAAAAAAGACGGTAAAGGAATGAAGATACACAGTAAATTTAGTTCACAGTAAAGATGTTTGCTTCAGTTTAATTATCAGCTTATAAAACTACAAGGACGATGTTAAAATACAAACAGTTGTATGTTATTTATCGTGATATTTATCAAATATGGTTATATATTGAGAAAAATATATATGTTTAATTATAAAAGAGAATTAAAATAATAAACACTCAAAAGTATCGAAAACTGGTACCGTTAAGTACCGGTATCGATTCCTAGGTACCGGGAATTAGTACCGAATCGATTCAAATGTCAAAGGTACCCATCCCTACATGTTCCAAGTGGAAGTGTTTACTTCAAGTCTCACAATGTTCAAGTAAATCATAAATAAATGAAATTTAGTGTGTTAAATGTATCTCTTTGAGATATATTGGACTACACCAAAAAAAAAAAGCAAGACTGAACTAATCCTGCACCACATTTCACATTAGCTGTGTGGCTTCTCTGTGATGTAAAGATTGACGACATACAAAAAGGTCAAACAAGATGTTGAGCCCGGGCTTTCTCTCCAAAGTGCACAATGTCCAGGATCTCCTTATTGTTAGCAGCTGTTGGAGATTTTCTTATTCAACGTGTGCTGTCAGTTTGCAAGCCCTTAATTTCCAGTTGCCTCTTTAATGGCACAGCAGCCGTGCAAAGCTACCCCCTGCCTCTCGATCCCGCCCCCTGTGCCTTGTAGGTGCACAAACCCACATGCACGCACAGCCCCCATCCCACCTTGCTTTGCTCCCATACACCCAGTCAAGCCAAGCATATCAAGTGTGCTTCTGTTGTCGCTGCCGGGCTAATGAACAATGCACAAAAACAAAAGACCAGGCCAAGCTTTTATTATCAGATCCTCTGCGGTGGGAGGGGCGTCACACAGAGAAGAGAGCAAAGCGCAGAGACAGATACACAGAGGTGGCTCATGAAGGTTGGCTTCTGCTTTGTTAAGATCTATTCACACTGGAAACAGGTGCAGGGGTGCGTGCATTAATTAATACCTCACAGTTGCGTGTGTGTGTGTTAACTCTTTCCTGTCTCTCGTATCTCCTCCTATAGGAAGATGTTTCTTTCATCAAGCATTTAAAAGTTAGACAGGTAATGTTTGCTTCTCCTTGCGTCATTTTGCGAGGAGCAGGAAACAACGTAGGAGGTGTGTGAAGTGGGAGGAGTAAGCCGCAGGTGTGTGAGTTACTCCCCCCCCCCCATACACCCACTCTTCCTCCTTGCACAAACAGGGATTAGCAACATAGCTACAGCCGCTAACACATCTTTTCTCTCCGTCTTTCCTTCATTCCTTCTTTCTTTTGTAGAAAAATCTTGCGAAGTTTTTCTCACGAGACGGTGGGACGTCCCCTCGCAGTCAGAGGCCCTTTCAGAAGTCTTAAGTTTTAATTAAGTCGGAGTTGTCAGAAGAAAGCTCCCCCTAGTCCAGAGCTCAGGGCCATTAATTACAGCTATCTTTGTTTCTCTGTGAAAGGAGGCCTCCCTCGCTCTTTCTCTCTTTCTTTTGCTTCTTTTCTTACGCCCCCTCCCTCCCCTCGGAGGTGAACCGGACTGCTGAGCCTTTCTGTGGAAGCCACACATGTGTGCCGCGGAAGCAAACATATATTTATCCGTCGCTTAAACAGAAATGCTGGAATTTACATCTTTTCATTCAAATTGAAAGTTTTCTGTTTACTTTTTTTTAGCCATCTTGTTTCGAAAGCCGCCTGACGTGGAAGCACTTTTGATCCCCTCCCATTGATCCATCACAAAACCGTGACAACAATGGTGCCTTTAACTGACATTCAAAACCTGCACACTTTCATTTTAAACAGAAACTCAATTAACATTCTTGATTTTGACCCTGAAACAGTCGTTGGGTATTTTGTACAACTGCTAGAGAAGAACAACACATTAAAGCGTGGAACAAAGTTCATTTCACGATGGAGAGCTTGTTAATTTTCTAGGCAGAGAAGATTGCCGTTATAATACGACTTATAAAAGGCTCACTGATAGTTTACAACTGTTCCTGTGGCATGGCCATAAAAAGAACTGTACTGTACCAAAATTAACATTTTCAAATAAATCAGTTGTGGCCTTGAATACCGCACATCGCTCAATGTCCCAGCTTACGTTGTAATGTTTTTGGGATGCGGGGCTTCGGCTGGGAGCAGCTGAGTGATATATTTTGGGGTTGGACCAGGCTGCCAGATAGGTTTAGGCTTAATATTAATTCTCTCCCCATCAGCACATTCCAGAGAGTTTGTTTAAGACCAAAACTAGAGGCTGTGTGTCGCGCTATGGTTCTCTGCAGGCCTGAAATGCATGCGGCCTGGTGATCACAGACCAGAACATCCATGATTTATGAACTTTTAAAGGACCGCTTTGACTCCTGCCAGGCGTGGGCTGTGTAATGCATATTCAGACACACAAACACACTGTTCCTGCTCCTGGGTTTGCGCCCCTTGTGCGTCTGCTCGCAATGTGTGTGTGTGAGTGTGTGTGTGTATGTGTGTGTAATTTATGCTGCGGCAAGATTGTCTGTCTGGTTACGATCCGTGAGCAAGTTCTCATTGAGTGTCTGTGTATGTCTGGGTGGCAGGATGGCGAAAAGGCTCATCCTAGTCAATATGGCTCCCTTCCAGATCGCCTGGTGGTTAATTGTTGAAGATTTGTGTTTGGCAAACAACCAAATAGGCTAACGCTCCCAATGGGCCAATGAAGATCGGCTAAACAGCGCTCCCCGGGTGGACCTAAACATGGCACAGACGGTTTGAGAGGGCGGAGGAGGCGGCGCCACACCCCCCGTATGAATGAAATACAAATTACAACTCTCATGACTTCCTGTTTACACGTCAAAAGCACATGTCAGCTCTCAGACATGCACGCACACATACACACACACACACACACACGCCAGGGCTTGTCTGAGGCAAAGGGAGGGGAAACGTTATGACAGGTAAAGGAAGCTCCCCCGTGTTCAATGCTGCCTCCATGTTTATGTGTGTGTGTGTGTGTTGGGATGACAGAGGACTGCATTCATTATGCAGAATGAGATGTTTACAAAACACCTTTCTCACACAGATATCTACAAAAGACGTGCAAACACCTCCCCTCCGCGCACTCCCAGGGTTTGCGGGGAGAGTTGCCGCACTGCCGTCTCATTTTCATTTGTTGTATCTGGGGTGACAAAAGCTGCCTCATTAACTGAATTCTTAATAACCCGAGCCCAAAGAAATCTCTTCAAGACTTCTTTTATCTCTGCGTGTGTGTGTGTGTGTGTGTGTGTGTGTGTGTGTGTGTGTGTGTGTGCTACTGTGTGGGTAAGATTGCAATCTATCCTTTTCTTCAGACTTGTGTGTTTATTTATTTATTTTTTTTACGCACTGGTAATTTCAACTTTTCATTTGACCTCATAACCATCCTTTAGTGTCAGTCTAGAATATCAATCGTGGACGTTTCAGTCTTCGCCCGTGCTTGTGATTCGTTCGCTGGTCCTGTAAAATATTTTGAAAGCGGCGCAGAGCAGTGGGGTTGCATTTTCTCCCATAAACCAAATGACAAATTAGCGTATTCAGTACAAACATGACTCTTTCCTGTCATTAGGCATGGAACCAGGCAGCTAATGAATACATACTGGAAGTAAGAACGCTCTCCAGCAACAGCTGCTGTGTCTTAATAACCACTGTGAGTGTGTGCCTGTGTCAGAGCGTGTGTGTACACGTTTTTATATGTAAAAAAATCTGCAATATACATTCTCTTTTGCTGCCTGTGTGAGCTGAGAGCAGGCGTGCAACTGTGACACCACACAATGTGAGGATAAAAACCTTTTTTTACACTTTCACCAGTTTTAAAGAGAAGTAGGGAGCTCACTGTCGAGCGTACCTCCTTGCGGAAGCGTCACCAGCTTCCGGTGCTATCCCCCGTGGGCCCCGGGGGGCCATCAGAGACAAAAACA